CCTCTTTAATAAATGTGATAGCTGATCAGTTTAACACATGCTTGTATACCTAAATGCTTTCACTGACTGAAAACAACTCTCGAGCAAGATAAGTTAGTTTATAAGCTCTAACACCTTAGAAAAGGTATACTGAGACAAACCTGCACATTAGCACTTGTATCCAATATTCTTAGAATGTTTATCTACTAAGTGATAAATTTAATAAATGTTGAAGAGAATATCAGGAAAAACGAGGTAGAAACAAATAAACAAATACATTAGTCATAGAACTGACCACATTTTGCTACGATTCATATACAAGTGAGACAAAAAAAAAATTACTTATAGTTTTCATTTCAAAAAGCGAGAAGCCCACCAATTCTCCAATAGAAACTATATTTTCTGGAACTAAAAGTCTAAAGAAATTTCTCTCGTACAACAAGCAATCGCAAACAGATATCCAATGACAGTTTGGGTAACTAAGAAAACTTTCCATATGATGGCTTCTTAGGAATGCTGAGATGGACTCCTACAAAAGAACACCTAGTAGTGGCAATTTGGATAGAGTTAAGCAGAAAAGACAAGTAATCTATTAGCAGGCATGACAAAGCCTTGAAAGGATCCAAAGACAGTTGTGCTGTCTCCCTTTCTCAGACAAAATATTTCAAGGTCTAGCAAAAGTTTTCACATGACATGATTTTAAGACTCTATCACCAAAATTACCTATCTCTAAAATACATATGTCGATATCCATCTGAAATAGGTATCCAGAAATAAATGTAATTTTCCAGATCAATTTAAAGTCAGTTCACACTATTACTTCCTAATTGTGAAAAAAATATTTTTATTAATGCAGTGTAAAACTACATTGGGGACCAGCAGGCAGCCTGGAGGGAAAAGTGGCTGGACCCTGCATGGTCGGCTTCACAGTTCAAAACCAGACCTGGCGTCTTCAAAATCATGCCAGGCGTGGGACCAGAAGTTAGCGTAAAGGCTATGTCGCTGGACTCCCACGTAGTCGACCGCAGTTTGAGTCCCGGACCCGGTGGCTTAAACTCACGCCGGGCGCGTGTGCGTGCATGCCCAAGATCCCGAGAGGAGAATGGAGGAGAAGGGATTACAGCGTGGCCATCCTCTCTGGGGGGTGATTTCTCGCTTTCTATCTCTCTGTCTCTCTCTGTCTGTCTGGCGAGCACACGCGTCCTATAGCAAAAACCTCTCCAAAAAAAAAAAGAAAAAAAAAATCATGCCACGTGTGTGTGCATGTGCGTGTGTGTGTGTATGCCCAAAATCCAGAGAGACGAATACAGGAGAAGGGATTGCATCATGACCACACCCTCTGGGGGGGTGATTCCTCACTTCCCCCCCCCCACCTCTCTCTATCTCTGTCTCTCTCCAGCAAGCACACACACCCTTATAACAAAACAGCAAAAACTAAAAAGTAAATAAAACTACTATGGTTTTTGTCAGTCACATCACATTACTGATTCACACCGTGCCTAAAAAGCCTCTACTCGTAAGTCCACCTGTAAAAGGAGGAGTTTAGATTGTATAAAATCCAAGAACAAAAATTCAGATCATTTCTGTAAATTTCTCTTTTATTTATTCTTAATTTTAAATTAAATTTGTTTTGACCTACTGTATAATAATGCAGTTTTTTTTACATTTTTATTTTCTGGTTTACAATATATGCTTTTCCATAAATTTTTATGTATTTATTCTTAACTATTTTTAAATTAAATTTGTTTTGATCTACTTATAACAATGTAGTGTTTTGTTTTTTCTTTTTAAACACTTTTATTTCTGGTTTATGAAGTCATCTATAAATGTCATAAATATAAGTACATACTTTTGCCAAAGTTCATAATAAATGCATTGATGCATTTACTAGGACAGGGGAAGATACTTATCTGAGATGACAATAATTCATAACTGGGATAAGCGGTTATAAATTTACCAAACTATATTACCATCTAGACCAGAGGTCTCTAGGATGGCCACAGAGTTTGGGAGAAAATTCATCAAATACTGAATTCCAATATACTAAGTTTATTACATTCTCTGAAAAAATGAGTTTTTTCACAACAAAAATACCTCATTTCAAGCACTTATAAATCTATCCAATAAACAACTGTAAATAAATGCAGTTTATGCCTACTGACAAATGTGCCACTAAACAGTAAATAAATAAATAAACATATTTACTCACCTCCAGGAGATGCAGCATATATAGTATTCCTCCCAATTTATGACTTCCTTTGCCTAAGCCAATACACAAAATTTACCAATAGCCTGTGTGGGGGTTCATCGACCCCCCCAAATGAAATATTTAGGTATATATCTAACAAAGTACACATAAATCTGAATGAGGAAAACTACGAAACTCTGATGAAAAACACCAAAGTACTAAATAAATGAAAGATAATCTATGTTCACAGATAGGAAGACTTAACATTATCAAGATACCAGTACTTCCAATTTGATCTATAAGTTCAACACAATCTCAAACAATATTCCAGCAAGTTATGCTATGGGTATGACAAACTGATTCTGAAAGTTTATATGGAAAGACAAAATTTCAGAATAGTCAACACAATAAAGAAGAAAAACAAGGTCAGATGACTATCACTACATGACTTCAAGACTTAGTACAAAATTACGGCAATCAAGGCAGTGTGGTATTAGTGAAAGAATCAATAAACAGACAATAAAACAGAAAAGTGAACCCAGAAACAGAGCCATATAAATATAGGTCAACTGATCTTTGACACAGAAATAAAGGCAATGAAGCACAGATACCCTTTTCAACATATGATGCTAGAAAAACTGGGTACCCACAAGTAATGAAAGAAATTGACGCAGACCATACACCCTTCACTAAAACAACTCAATAGAGATCACAGACCTAAATGTAAAATGTGAAAACTACGAAAGTTCTAGAAGATGACACAGGCAAAAAATTAGATGACCTTGGGTTTGGCAATGACTTTTTAGAAATGACATGAAAGGTATAATTTATGAAAGAGTTGATTAGCTTAACTTCATTAAAACTAAAAATTTCCACTGCAACAGGCACTGTTTATAAAAAGATACATCACAGATTGGGAAGACATACTTTAAAAGAAATATCCAATAAGAGACCAAGATCTTAAATATACAAAGAACTATCACAACTCAATAAGAAAGTAAACAATTTTATTAAAAACTGGGCCAAAGACATAACAGACACCATACTAAAAAAGATATACAGATGACGAATAAGCATACGAAAAGATGCTCCACAACATGTCATCAGAGAAATGTAAACTGTAACAATTAGATATCACTACACACCTATTACAATGGCCAAAATTCTCAACACTGACAATAGCAAATGCTGGCAAGGACATGAGGTGACAAGAATTCTCATTCATTATTAGTAGGAATGCAAAATGGTATAGCCACTTTGGAAAACAGTTTGGTGGCTTCTTACACACTAAATATACTTATTTATTTGTTTAAATTAACATATAAGAATTATACAGATATGTGAAGGTACAGTGTGACTTTTCAGTACATGAGTACATCACATAATGTACCTAACAGTCCAACCATTTGTCATTACTCCTAGTTGGGACTAAATGCACTTTTATTAACCTACTCAACCTCTGTGCTAGGTTATTTACCCAAAGGAATGAAAACTTCTGCCCTCAGAAAAACATGTACATAGATATTTATAACGATTTTACCTATAACAGTCAAGACTTGAAAGCAACCAAGATCTCTGAGTAAGTAAATGGGTTAGTAAACTATGGTACATCCAAACAAGGGAATATTAATATTAATCAGCACTACAAGAAATAAGGTATCAAGGTACAAAAAGATATAAAGGAGCCTTAATAAAATACCTATTACTAAGCGGAAGAAGCCAACCTGGAAAGAGAACAAACTATAAGCTTCAATTACATGATATTCTGGAGAAGGCAAAATACAGACAGTATAAAGCTCAGTGGTTGCAGGGGATAGTGTGGCAAAGAGACGAATGGGAGAAAACAGGGAATTTCTAAGGCAGCAAAGCTCCTCTATGATACTGTAATAATGGACACATGCCATTACAGATGGTGTCCAAAGCCACAGGATATACACCAGAGTGGATCCTACTGTAAACCATGGGCTATGGGTGATTGTGATCTGTCAGTGTAGGTTCATTAACTGTAACACAAACTTGCTTACCCAGATGAAACTTTTCTTGATGTTTTAACCGTGCAAACCGTGATTTGAAGTGTTCTTCACAATAGGTACACTTAAAAGGTTTATCTTGAGAATGTAGGATCATATGCTCTTCTAAATGTGGTCTTCGAGTAAAAGATTTCTTACAAATCTAAATAAAAATTATATAAAAATGTAAAAAATCTTGGATTAAAAATCAAAGTATAAAGCTCATAATGAGAAAAAAAATTCATAAATTTAAGGAAAGAGAAATTTCTCTAAGCAGAAGACTTGCCAAAAGTATAATAATATTCTAATTGTGCAGGGAAAAAATATGCCCTGCAAGAATTATAGTATGAAATTATTTTAAATTAGTACTAAAGGTACCTGAATTTCAATTCTTCACATTTATAAGAGGGTTAAGGAATACTATCTTAATTCTAGTCAGGATTTTTAAGTCATTTTTTTTTTTTTTTGGCTTGCCTTAGGTTCTGTGCACTCACTGGAAAGAGACAAGAGACATAGACAGTGAGAGGGAAAAAGAGAAATCACCCTCCAAGGAGGATGGCCATGCCACAATCCCTTCTCCTCAGTTCTCCTCCTGGGATCTTGGACACGTGCACACACATGCAAAGAGTGAGTTTCAAGCCACTGGGTCCAGGACTTGAACCACAGTCAGCCATGTTCAAGTCCAGTGACAACTGCTATGCCATCTGTTGGCCCCAAATCCATGAAATATATATTTTAAACTATATGTCAAGGATAACAGGACTTATTATTGTTTATTGCCATATATTTTATTAAGAATATGAATTTTAAAACACAGAAAAATTTCAAAACCTCTCTTGAAGCAGTCAGAAGAAAGAGAAAACTTTTAAAGAAATTTTATATATATATCAGATTTTTAAAAATGGGGGAGGCTACTATAACAATAACATCAATAATACAGCATGAGCTTTTTACCAGTCATAATGCTAAATTATTCATGGACTTAATTTAATTATCACAATAATTTTATGTCATAGATAAAATTATCATAATTTTATAGGTGATGATAAAACTTAGTAAAGTTTCATCCTATGTGTAAACTTTAATTTCTAGAAGCTGAGTTCAGATAAACAATGAGAGTTCTGCTGTCTATATAAATTGAATACTTAAAAGACAGGAAAAATGGGGACAGTTGGTGACATGGTGGTTAGGATGAGTGGATCCCATACAGCTCACTACATGGCTCAAGTCCCAGGCTGGAAGCTTAAAAAACAGACGGGGTGTGTATGTGTGCACAAAATCCCCAGAGAAAAATGGAAAAAAAAAGGATTTCAGCAAGGTTATCCCCTTAGGGAGTGACTTCTCATTTGAAGGGGGGGAAAAAGGCAAAAATGACAACTGGCAACTCCTTTTAACAATATTCACCTAAATACTGAGAACATACCTATGGTATTGTATGTAGTAGAATAGGATACCAAGAAATTATTTGCTACTCCTCATGCTGAAAATGGAGTCTATTTCATCTCCCCTTAAATATTCCCTCACTATATTGACTTGTTTGACAGACAAAATATGGTATAAGTGACATTTTGGGACTTCTGAGGCTAGGTCATAAAAAGTATTGTAGCTTTTACCTAGGCTTCTTGGACACATAATTACTTTTGGAACCTAGATGCCATGCTACGAGGAAGCTCAAGCAGCACCATGAAAAGACCAAAGTGGAGAAGCATAGAAGACCCAAGTCAACAGTCTTGGTTGAAATCCCAGACATTAGCCCAACATTAAGCTACCAGTCATGTGAGTGAGCCCTTTTGGCAGTGGTTCTTGACCAGATCATCCACTGGCTGAAAACAACTGAGTGACTTAACTTAAAATCATATGGAACAGAAGACTTACTTAGCAAATCCTTGCCCTAAACTTAGATTCACGACCCATGTATGGGGGGAACATACAAAATGTTAAGGCCACTTAGTTTTAAGATGGCTTGTCATATAGAAAAAGGAAACCAGAAATGGAGAAGAAATTCTAACACTTTATACTCTGTAAAACAGTAATGTAGTTTACATACACAACCATAAGTAAAAACAAAACACAGTGATTAAAATGAAAAAACTAGTATTTTTACTTTTTGGGTCTACCATCTAAAAACTAACACATGCCAGACTTAATTTATAGAAAATACTAAGATAACTTTATATAAAAGATTCTAAAGGTGATATAAAATTGCTATAAAATCTAATTACCTTACTTTCCCCAAAGGCAACATTACATTTATTTTGGATTTATAATACAAATTAAAAATTCTTACATCACATTTCCAACTTTCACTTTTAGTCTTTTTAATGGAAATAAATTCTTGTGCATTTTCAGGATGAAATCTAACAGAAGAAAAGAAAAAATATTAGAAAAAGATATTGAGTCAATATTCCATATAAATTCGCTGACAACAAGTTTACAAGATTCAGATACTGACTTATTTCATAAAGACACACGCACATGTGAACTCTTTAAGAATACAGGTATACTGGGGACCAGCAGTTAGCATAATGGCTATGTCGCTGGACTCCCACGTAGTCGACCGTGGTTCGCGTCCCAGACTCGGTGGCTTAAAACTCATGCCAGGCGCGTGTGCGTGCGTGCCCAAGATCCCGAGAGGAGAATGGAGGAGAAGGGATTGCGGCATGGCCATCCCTCTTGGGGTGCTGATTTCTCGCTTTCTGTCTCTCCATCTCTCTCTGTCTGCCTGGCGAGCACACGCGCCCTGTAACAAAAACCTTTCCCAAAAAAAAGAATACAGGTATATTAACTTTTTAACAAATTTATATGTAAACCTAAGTATATATAGAAATAGTCAAATATCTAATCATCTTTTTAATGCATTCAGAAACCTAGCCTATTAACAAATAATCTTCAAGGAAATTCAACTGATTTTGAGATAAAATTTCAGCAAAATTCATTTTTCAGTTAAATATATATAATACTGTACTAAATATCCTCTGTCTCACAAGTTTTTACACATTAAAAAAGTTAACATGTAAAATAAATTTCCTAAAATTCTAAAATCATATATTTCTGAAGACATACTTGTTGAAATCCAACACAAAAAACAAGATAACTAAAATGCTGTTTCTTTTTAAAATTTATTATTTATAGATTCAAAAAACGCTGTTTCTTACACTTCTATAGTATAGACTATATTCTTGTTTTAATATCAACAAACTATGTCTATAGTATGAATCAAATATGAAAAACTAAAGTTTGCCCTCTTCATTAATTTGTAATCTCTGTAAAATTTTAAGCAGTGGAAGGAACGGAGACAAGTACTCCAAAAGATATTTTAGCTTTTTCCAAATTTAAATTAGAATGCAAAATAAAGTCCATTACAGAAGCAAGATAATACTTGCCTCTTAACATGCTTGGCTAAAGTCTTCTTGCTTGCGTGAAGTTTATTACAGTAAGGGCACTTGTGCTCCTTCTTATGAAATTCTGTTTCATTACTGTGCTTCTTTCTGTGAACAGTTAGGTTAGACTTGGTCGAATAGCGCTGGTGACAAATATCACACTCAAAGGGCTTCTCACCTGTGTGAACACGGGTGTGGCTCTCATATTTCCCTA